TGGGTACATGAGGGGGGTAGCATATATTATATTGTCAGATCAACACCTTTCGAACACTTACAGAGCAGTAGCAGCGATAACTGACAAGTTGAATGATCGAAATGGGCTGTCGCCTAAGCCAAAGATGCCAAAATGGCCACGGGATCACCAGCTTCTCTCCAAATTGAGGTCAACTTGTCCATTGAATTTCATCGCTCAGCGGAAATGCGGATTTTTCTGACACGTCATCGTTCAGAAGGCTTCAAGGTTTCGCATGCGAACATCACGGGGGGGTGTGGATCCGCGGCGTATCGAAAATGAGCCTTTTGATCTCGCTTCCATCTTGCGACATGTGCCTTGCATGGACATTCAACCCGCTCAACCCTTCAAAAGCTGTCCAAGCCCAAGCTTGAACTACTTTGTCTTGCCCAAAACCCAGCTTTTCAAACAGTCCACATACTGTAACATACTGCCTGTCTATCAAAGGGGGCATAATCAGAAAGTGCATGGGGGGCCAGCTTACGCAGCGGACTCCTAGAGACATGGATTCATCGGGATGTTCGGAGAAACTGCCACTTGGATGTAGCGGTGCGAACCCTCAGCTGTCGTGCTACTACTCCTGCTGCTGCTACTGNNGCATTGCTGCGCTGCTGCAGACCTGCTGTGCTTCTGGGTTGTCTTGCCAAAACGACGTGTTTAGAAAGCCATCATGACTACTTGGGTATGCCTGGCCGACAAATCACAATTGCTCGTTGATGCTACGCATTACGACCACTATGCTGCGATTGCTCCTCCTCCTCCTACTCCAGCTGAAAAGCAACCTTAGAACCAAGATAGCAAGAACCCTCAGAATGCGCCATCTCTGACGTCCAAATCCGTTCACACACTGCCTCATCGATTTGTTGGGACGCATGCTTGGCTGTGAGTCTAACCTCACCCACGATCAACAGCACTCGCACAGGCTGGCACTGGTCAAGGCAGTTGCTAGATGTGACGCAAACAAGCGGCGCAGGTTGTGCTGGCTCCTCCACCTGCTGTACTGTTGGAGCATTCGCCATCTCTGCGGACATCTCCGACATGACAGAAAGTCCAGGATCCTGGCAGCAGGCTACGCAAGACCTCCTGTTCTAGCCTTCCCTGTCAGGGAAGCTGATCACACTGACCTGCTCCACCGAGCTTTGCCATTCGTCGCCATCCTGAAGCTCAAACTTGTGATGTACGGTACTGCACATTCTTTCAGACGGACCCCAAGACAAGATTGCCTTTCCATAATACGACTCCGTAAACAAATGCTTTTAAAAAGTGCTCGCTTGCGATGCCTGAAGCTGGTTCCCGGCTTTGGCTGAAGGCCGACGCGAAGGCGACAATGAGTGTGTCCAGCTCGATATTACCGATTCTCCATAGAGCCTGGAGATACAAGTCCATTGCAGCCAGCAGGAAGAAACTGCTGCAATGGAGAAAAGCGGGAGATAGAGAGAGGAAGGGAAGCGAACTCCAGAAGTTTACGAAATTCTGTGGTCGAGGTTCGCATCGAGGGTGTCTTGGTGGGCATCTACCACACGTCTGAGCTCCAACTGTTGAGCTTCCAGGGCTCCAAGCCTCGGCTGCGAGAAAAAGCAAAGCTGATCACTCACTGGTATGAAGTCCGACAGTACTTGCAGCTCTGCCACAAAATGCACCGATGACATCAAAGAAAAATCAGAAACACAGCGCCAGCAGCGCAAACCACTGCCGCAGCCGCCACCAATACAATCACACTCACAACATCTCGCAAACACATTCACAACCACAGCTACGGAAACAAGCAGTCCCAAGCACCACTATAACAGAGAAAACCAGTTCACTGCTGAATCCCGCTCGACAGCAACTTTCGAGCTGAGCATCAGGTCCCTCGCCAAAGAGGCCATCTGGTCTTCCATACTCACTCCCCGTGATGCCTGGACCATTTCGGTCAGAGCGAAATTGTAGAATGATGTTTCTATCCTTTCGTGTGCCAGCATGGAAGCAACAGAGAGAAGAAATCGGCGACACTGGACTACACCCCACTGCGATTTCCAGGTTGGAAAGTCAAACACCCAGGACTGCGGTGAGCACGCCGAAAGTAGCATGGCCCTGCCACGAATTCAGAACCCAAAGCAATGCGACGACTAAATGCCAGCGACACGGTCGTGAGAGCTACAGCAGACTGCGAACATCGTGTCTTTTCTATTGACAACAGCGCCCCGGGCGGACCGAGCCGGAACTCTTCCAGTAACCAACTCCTTCTTCAATCTGAACGTAAGAACCCGTGGTGTTGCCACACCGTTTGGAGAATGTGCCATGAGACGTTTCAACTCTAGATAGACCAAAGAAGTGGCCACGAGTCGCTCAACGCCCCGACGGGCCTTCGCACAATCTCTTCCGCAGTCAGATGCATACAGCTTTGGACAGCATCTAGAAAGGAAGGCCTTCTTGGCCCTCCTTGGACCAAGCGGCAAGGCACGAGAACGGCATCTTTTATGCTCAAGGGACCAAGCAAGTGACATGAGCCGAACGGACAGAGGTCCCATTTCACCGCCAGAAACAAGTGTGCAACCCCCAGTATGCATTTGAGCACAATGGGATCACACTAAATGGCACCAAGTCTCCTGCAAGGGAGGCACTGACCATGATATATCATTTCATGACGAATGCAGCATTTGAGGCTTGGCCGGAAAATTTGCTGCCCTCTTGGTCGCTCAACATGCGAAGGTGACACAGTTATGCGATCACCGGCTGCTGGCTTCTGGGCATGGTGAAACTGGTGGCCGCCAGCGCAGCTCCTCAACTCATAACATATCGACCGGATAATGTCATCTGAACGCTGGGGAGCAACCTTAGTTTCGAGAGATGCACAGTTAACACGAGGAGGCTCGAACGCAGAACGGCCCATCTGAAGTAATGAGGACGGCAGCACCGCGCATCCGAAACCCCTCGTGTGACATGCGCTGATAACGCTGATAGGACACGATCGTCCCTTTTCCATCCTTGTCAGCTCGCCGAGCAGCGCTAGCTCGTCTTGAAGGCGAGAGCCATTACGCCGCGCCCCGACACCCATGTTTTTCGGCGAAGGTTTTATCACATTGGCTTCAGCCAATGCGATGAAAAGCTGCCTCGGCGAGAAAACCCAACGAACTGGGCATGTAATGAAAGGAATGCACTCAAATCGCAGGTTCTGGCAGCTGCGTGGCTGCAAGCTAGTGGTCAAACTTTTGACATCGCTTGCGAGCAGGATCCTTAGCCATGAGTCCGAATTGCAAGCCATGGCCAACATCTGCCTCAAAGGAAAGGTACCGAAAGATCATGACAACATATGGATGTATGCCTAAAAATCATGGGGAATGCAGCAAAAGTTCTGATCAATAGCACGAGCTGGACCCTTGCAACGAAGGATTCCATCGATGAAATCATCACAAGTTATTTCGCCATCTCCTGCATGTCTGCGCATTTGGACATACTGCCGCACAGCAAGACTGTACCATGGGCCTGTTGCTGACAAACTCAAACCATGCCAAACCACACCGGAGTCAGGCGAGGCTCCATTTTGCAACAAACGAAAAAGCGCAGTGCTTTCATGAACATCGATTTCCAAGCTCTCCAAGTAAACTTGTACCCGAATATCTTGCATCAACTCATTCCTCAACTGAGTGCGCATGAGCTGGGACATCCTTTTTGCGCAGAGCACACGGGGTCGCAGCCAAGGAGCAGTTCATCCTCAGTCAGAACACCATCTCCGCTTTCGTCGCAAGCTCGGAAAATACCTCAGCCAAGAAAGTGGGATCCAGTGAGCAAAGCATCGAGGACAGAGAACAACTCCTGCACCAATAAATCCAGGACACTCTCCAATTTCCGAACGTAAGTAGCCTTCTTCCGCAATCGTTCTTGAACGAGAATTTCCGCATCATTGTTGGCTGCTTCTAAAGTTTCACGCAGAAAAATTGCGGAAATAACACGAATGACCTGATCAATACTCCGTGACAACATCATTGCGAAACATCCCATCGAGATCATTTGAGTGGAAAACACGAGCCAAGGCTGCGACTGCGAACACCACGAATGTGATATAAATCATATAGAATATAACATATCCATGGCCCGCGCTTTCCAACACCTTGCGCAAGTGAGCTTCAATTCTGAATATGATGGCACGCGACTTGCCAATGCATCCAAAGCTCAGGGCGTGCATAAACTGGCCAGTTCCCTGCAAATGTCATCTCATACCTGACACCACGCCGTTGAACTTCAGTCGTGAAACTTGGATTTTGCTGAGCAGCAACCTGACGTGGGTTGACTGCGTAAAGCGGCCAAGGAACCCCGCGCCCACAACAATAACCCCAACATCAGTTGTGGTTCCGCCGTTGCCACGTGGTCAAAACAAACGATAACCGCTAGAACTCAACACATCCCGGATCGGAGTTACAGAGGTCGGTCAAGGTCATGCCCATGTCATGCCCGGGATGCTTCCCGCCATGTAAACATTGGACAACATGATATCATGTGGGGTCGTGACTATGAGGCTCCCCCCGTGTGTGACCACATATGCCACGAGCGTGAAATATGAATTCATTCGAATTTCACATCCATTTAGGCATTGCATTCGCTCGGCTCAGTTGTCCTTTCGCAATGCCTCACCACGAGTCCACTCACAGGAAGTGCTTTGGTAACANNGTTCTGTCCCTACCTTCTTCCCTTCAGTTCCCATGAAAATAAAGAGAACATATACGTTTTCCAAACATAGAGATAATAAAAGTTTCCTGCTAAAACCAAGAGAACATTGGAGCAACATAGAGATTTGTGCTGTTAGAATATAGAGAAAATAAAGGTTTCCTGGTGAAAACACAGCGCAAGATAGAAGTTTTCCTGTAGAAATACAGAGAACCCACCGCCCCCCCAACCCCTCCCTCCAAAAAAA